CTTTTGAATGAGATGCGGAAATGGATGTGACGTCACATTAATGTTCTGGAAACATTGAAAGGCGGAGTCAGCAAAACCGGTCCGTGTGCTTCCTCATACCAAATATGGTGATATGAGAGAAATTTGCAATGACGCTGTCACGTGTTGTAGTAGCCTATAAATAGCAGTGCACAAACAGATTCGCTCTCTTTTGGCTGATAGAACCTTGAAGACCATACTTAGAAAATAGCATTAAGACTAGCAGTGGTAGTCAGTGCATTATATACTTAATATTTCTCCCCGGATTAACGGGTAAGTTCAATACATTTGATTCGTTAGGCTTTAGGTCCAGTTAGTTTTTTTATTGAATTATAGAAAAATATGTAATTGGTTCTAGGTCCATTAATTTGGCTAATTAATAACAGTAATAGTCACAATTACTTGATCCTGATTGGAATCTCCTTGGAAAAATATATCTATGAGCCTGTGAAGCTTCCTTGAGCAAAAAAAAGTGACGTGTTCACGTGATGACAGCAAGTCCTGCTTCATCCCTGAGGACATTTGAGTGATCCTGATGCTCCCATGATCTTGCCAAGCTAAGTAAAACTTATAACTTCTTGATATTTAACCAGTGCATACTCCGGAGAACAATTTCTGTATAACGTGATAAAGGATTTCTATTGGTAAACTGTAAAGCCATTATAAGTACATAACAAATTTTTATTGTTAAATTTTTAAAACTTAGTATTTTATAACTTGTTTAATAATTTGTGTATATAAGAAACTTAAATTGAGTATTACTGTATTAGCACATGATCTTGAATGTTTGAATAGCTATAAATCAAAAGAAAAATCTTTGAAGAAATATAACTATGTATTTTTAACTTGAATGTGACTAGTATTAAGTTTTAACCATGATGAGATAAGATCTGAATCTTTTTTTAACAATATAGTATCTTGTTCACTGCGGTTTTAGACATTTTCATTTATCTCCCTCAAATCACAGTATCACGGCGCCCTGATTTTAAATTAAATAAGTTTCGAGTCTCATGTAAGCCCTGAAATAGTCGGTGGTAACTAAAATTGTTACAACATAGGGTCCAAGCGCTCGTTCCTTTTTTAAGGAATTCTCTAAGAAACTCACAGAGATGACTGGTGATCAAAAGGCTGGCAGCTACCTTGGTCAACGGATCAGCCTTGCTATCCAACGAGGAAATGCTGCCAGCCTATTGGGCACCATTCCTGACGGCGTCACTGGGGGTGATATATTTTTTAAGTTTGTCTAGTAAAAAAACTTAGTAGAAGTAGTTTAAAACTTTTGTAATTTAAATATTTATATGTAAATTACCAAATAAATTTATGTTGACACATCAATAATTTATTGTTTTATTTATTTTCCTCATATAAAATACTTCAAATTTTCCTATAACAAGTACGAGTAAAAAAATCCTTGATACTTTATCTGTGGAGTTGACTACCATAACTTTGCCTTCGCTATATTTTTATAAAATAAAAAAGAAACAACGACTCAAATTTAAAAAAAATAAAAACGTCATATGACACTAAAACTAAAAGGGTAGTAATTTTTGTTCTGCAGATTGCAGTCTGTACGTAGTATCTAAATAGTCTGTGCACTACATACATAAAAAACAGGCTTCACTTTTTGGTTCGGCAGACTCCGTCTTTACTTTTTATTTGGTCTGAGGGCGCGCAGTGTGGTGTTGTTCTACCGACATCGTTCCTGTATCAAGTTGTCATTGTAAAGCGGGATTTTTTGTAACTGAAATAGTTCGCAAGTTCATGCGCAAACTTTCTCAAAACTGTGGTTTTCGGTAAGTTTACAATTTTTTCTTTAAAATATTTTTTTTTGGGTAAAAACATCCATTTGTGTATACAGTATGCTAATGGTGATCTGTTATAAGGGTTACTTAACCCCAACATGGCTTGAAATGAGTTTTTTTCACAGAGAAAACTCAACGAGCTAAAGTATCTCTCTTTATGGCCAACTTTGGCCCAAAATTAAAAAAATATTTATGAACCCTTAAATATTATTTTTTCCTATTTTCGTATGATAACTTTGTAACTAATACTTTAAAGTTCACAATGGAAAGATATAAACGTGACATATTCATCACAAAGAGAAGCTACAATTTTATTTAAAAAAAAAGTGCACATTTTAGGTCAAAGTAACCCGCAGTTACTCGGTACTGAAAATGGAGCCAGCACTTGCACAACAAATAAAAAAGTGAATAACAAGAAATCGATCTTCAATGACGTCACTGTAGTTTGCCATCTCTCTCATTAGGGTGACAATACTTTTGTCGAATGTGAATAAATCGGGTGGGAATAACTTCTAAAGATATATTATAATATTTACAACCAAAAAAGAAACAGATGACTGCAAAACCATCTCACGTACAGATGGTTCCGTACTTAAAAATGTAACAAACACTTCTCGAATTCATAAACTAACTTTAAAAAAAATATATAAGTTGACGGCACTAAAACCTTATCTTTTCTGTTTGCCAGGCACAAGAGCTCAGCAGTGGGATGTTAACCTCTTCACCGCCATAAAACAAACGAAGTGATGTGCTCACTGTACAAAAAAACCCGTTCCATATATTCCTACTAACACAATCCTAACTGGTAGAGATACTTGGAGTTGACTGCTAATTCATTACGATCGGTTGAGATATATGTTACTTTTTATTCCATACTGGTAATTGACTATTTTCCCATTTATCGCTGCATACTAGTAGGGATACGTTTTCATTGGTTTATTTATATGATTACCTAGGTGATCCTGATTTACTTGTAAAAAAGAAAATAAAGTCGCGGAAACTATTTTAACACAGACAAACCCATACTTTATTTGAGTCAACTAAAATTACACTCCCATACATTAGACAGTAAATTACAAACATTGTACATATACTGTTATCCAAAATGCCTTACGATATCCTAGAAGCTTACTGTAATTTCTGCCATAACAAGTTCTAGTTCTGCATTTTGGACAACAATATCATGTAGCACATTATAAATCATCAAAAATACTTCACATTAATAAAAAAGATTTACTATTTAACAAATAATAACGGAACACGTAGTTAATGATATAAAGAAACCCTTAAAAAGTTATAAGTTATATCCAAATATCCCTACAAGTGCTTTTCAGTAGGGATATATGGAATAGAAATTTCCATATATCGCAACCTGTAGAGATAATTGGAAAAAATCTCCAAGTAAGTTGGAATTATGTCAGGAGGGATGGAACGAGGGCCAAAATATACTACTTAATAAAACTAAATATATAAAAATACTTATGGGTTTTATTAATGCCAAAATATTATGCAATAATAATTAAACAGTGATGTTATGCTTCATGTTTGTACCACGGCGTTACACAGGCTTTTAATTATTGTGTTTATAGTAAAATACAAAAAATCAAAGAGCAAACAAATCAAATAATCAATCAATCAATAAATGGCACATGGATCAAATGCCACATGGGTGCTACTTACTTGGACAATGTGTTGCGCTGGGGAAGGCAATATGGCCATATTATTATTAGCACCAGATAAGGATGTTGATGATGTTGTGCGGGCAGTATGCGCATTTATGTCAGTCCAATATTGATTTAATGCTCGCCGTTTAAAGGGTATTTGATTTTCATCTCCCTATGAAAATAATAATATCATTTGTAACTCATTTATAAATATAATTACGAAATAATAACAAAAATTACTGATGTTTACTTACTATGCATTCTATTTGAGAATGCACCATAGGTGCTAAATTACTAATAACTTCAGTACTTTTAGGTTCCAAAGTCGAAGGCATGATGATACATTCCTACAAAATTAATTGTTGATTGTACTTGTTTCGTCATATAATTTACATATGTATAACAAATTTCAAGGTAATCCAACTACTACAAGTGGGCCAAAATTAACTTGCAAGATTTGATCCAAAATCGTCAACGAACAGCAGGTTAAATTATAGATTGTAAAAATAATTATAAATAATCTTAATGATAAACCCATTACAATATATCATTTTTATTACTTACCGAGGTGTTACAACATACACATAATTTGTATGCACAATGTGGTATAGCATTTTTGAGCAAGAAGCTGGGCCTCTCAGGGTCATAATCCTCAGATTTAAAGTGTTCGCTACAAATCTTGGCAGAATTGTAAAAAGACCCTTTTATTTGTATCTTGCCTAACCAAGCACTCCTCCTGCTTGGGTCAGTGGGGAAACTATAAAAAAAGGGCAATGCTCAATAACAAATGTCCGAGTTCGCGTATGTTTATAGTAAGCGAGTATAACATTAACATACGAACTTGTTCATTTTTAACCACACTACCACTGTCGGTAAAACTGTACTTCCAGGGCCCAAAACTGTTTTTTTTTGTAGAAGAGGTCTTTTTAACAGTTTTTTTTTTTTCTGGCGCTTCGCCGGCCGCTGCCGCATCACGCTCGCTTTGCTCGCTCGGCTCGCGCGTTATTTTCATAACACTAACCTAACCTAACCTAGTGTGAAGTATCACCACTTGATAAGAAAAGTAAAAATTTTCAATATTTTTTTCTAAAAAACTACCAGGGCATAAGTGTGACATTTTTTTTAATACAGTGGTTAACAGAAACCTTTTTAACAACAAAAATGCGAAATTACAACCAACAAAACTGTGAAGTTTTTACTTTTGGGCCCTGGAAGTACAGTATATCCCCACTGTCGTTCATATCATGATGAATTTGCAAACCTTTCGTGAATAGGTAATAATGACCGTAAGAATGGTTACCCTAGTACTTCATCTTCAAACTTGTATGGTTTGATACTAGTTAGGTTTTTCTGTACTTACACTGAACTAAGAAAAAAAAAAGTTTAAAATAATGCCAAAGCCTTATTCTATATTTCAAATGCTTTAACCTCCTAAGAAAGTTTCAAAATAGACGTGAAATAAGCCTTGGTTTAGAAAGCGAACATATCGAGTAATAATATTGATTTAATAAAATACCTGTGAAATTTAACGCTAGATCCTGGACTCCACACATTTCTGCAACCACGGACTATACAAGTCATGTTGATTATCACCAAAATAATGCTTAATTATTAAATAAAACCGAAGGAAACTTTCGAAGCGTATGATATTTGCATGACAGCAGCTATAACAATGTACTCTATGGCTACTACAAAGTTTGACATTTTTTTTCTTTTTTTAATTTATTCTGGCCGTGGAGAGTTTCACATATTGCTGTTAGTGTTGCTATAATACGTCGTCAAAATTACCATAACTTTGAGGAATTGGGAAACACACTGTCTTCAAACTAAGGATCGTGTTGCTAAATACTACTTCGATATACACAGTATTCCATCCAAACCAAGGGTTTTTCAAGGTGAAAAATAACAATAAAAAAATTGGTTGTCTAGTAAAAAGTCGGTTTATGGACGATAGTTTTACGTGATAACGTCATAAAGAAAGATAAAAAATTACGTGATTGCTAGCTTTGACGTCATGCGAGATGAGAGATAAAGTGTAAAAGCAGTGTTGCCAACTACTGGCATTGCCCAGTTGCTAAACATCTTACAAACTGTTGCTAGATAGTCAGTTTTTATTACCCCAAAAAGTTGCTAGAAGTAGCTAAATGTTACACTAGGTAAAAAGGATACTATATTATAAGAAGGGATATCAACACTGACCGTAGACGCAAAAAATGAGTTTGAGACCTTTATTTTAATAAGAAATACTTGTAAACTAAAATTATCATACTATTTTTTCCGTCAAAAAAGTCTGCTTTCAACAAGACGAGTTTTAGATTCACGTACCTGTTTTGAACTGTACTTTCTAAGTTTTTTTGTCCTAGCATGTTTATTTATGTCAAATAATTTAGTAGCCAGAATTTCCGTAGAACAATTAGTACAAAACGCTTTGCTTGAGTCGCTGCATGCTGCTTTTAACGAACATGTCTGTATTTCTGAGCTTATGTTTTTTTTCTCAAGGGTAAATCCATTTTCACATTAAATTAAAACAGCGAGCATTAGTTTTATATGGATAAAACAAAAAAACACTGGGTAGAATACGTACGTACGAGTGGTGCGTACCATTTTGGTTTAGTAAATAAGTACCCACGTTCTGTCATAGCGCATTCTATCGTAGCGCAACATTAAATGGGGAATTCTCGGCCAAGGACCATAGTATCCTTTCTATGACCATAGAGTCGCGTTCAGTTTTTTTTTCGTTAAAATTTGGTATTCTATGAATCTGTCATGATGAAATGAAAAGTTGTTAGAAAAAATAGCTAAAAAGTATAGCTACAAATTTTATTAAATTGTAGCTGTGTGACACCAGATAATAGCTAGATCTAGCTATAAAGTTGCTAAGTTGGCATCACAGACTAGTTAGAGATACTACGTATGTTGGCATCACTGTGTAAAAGTCGACGCTTGGGCCGGTCGTGCCTGTCAATGGGTACGGCCAGAGTGCACTCAGATTCAGATTCAGACTCAGAAAACAAGCGCGAGAAATATATAGTGTAGTTTAAGCAGGTTGCCTGCGGCCACTATGGCCACCCTGCTTTAACTACAGTGTTTATTTCTCGCGCTTGTTTTCGGAATCTGAATCTGAATCTGAGTGCACTCTGGCCGTAGGGTACGGCCAGAGTGCACTCAGATTCAGATTCAGATTCAGACTCAGAAAACAAGCGCGAGAAATATACATTGTAGTTTAGGCAGGTTGCCTGCTGCCACTATGGCCACCCTGCTTTAACTACATTGTATATTTCTCGCGCTTGTTTTCTGAGTCTGAATCTGAATCTGAATCTGAGTGCACTCTGGCCGTACCCATACCCTAGCGCTTGTTCCGCGCTCTCGCTTGCACACCTGAGCGTGCAAAAAGAAAATATCAAATCAAAGATATTTTTATTTTTATTCTCTAAGAACATTCATAATTTCATATACTAAGATGTAACCTAATCGATAAATCCGTAGGACAAAGTATGTAAAATAACTGCTTTTCTGGCAAATTTCCCAGAAGCATAATTTATAATAAACATGATAATGGTGTCGATTCTGGCGTGATTCTCTAAACTTAAAACTAAATTTAACATCAGTCTCTCCTTTTCATTCTGTATAGAGAACGACGGGGATGCACTGTTGTCAAATTTAAGTTTAGCTTTAGAGAATCATGCCAGAATCGACATCAATGTTTCATACTTTTTCAGATATTATATTCAAGGTGGTGTTTTAAAAAATCACTCAACTGAATATAGTGTATTTAACTAACTTTAGTTAAACATGGCTTTGAAACAAATCGAAAACTTGTCTAGGTGCTTTCACAAAGTCTTCACAATTATTTTAAATGCAAATTATAAAAACATAGGTAGTTAGTATATTCTTGGATACGCGTTATGGTTTATTCTTCAGTCCCCTTATTAATAAACGAAGAATAAGCTTGGATTAGTTACGCCATGTTTTATCTTTGTTCATTGAATGACAAATGACATTCGAGTGACACGAACAAAACACCGCGTTACTAGTCTAAGCTTATTCCTCGTTTATTAATAAGAGGGCTAGTGTCCAGATTGAGTGATCCAATTAATTAGTTCTAACTTTCTTTGTTTACACAAATTTTATACCTTGCCATGAAGTTTTCACAATTATTTCCTACATCCTCATATAATTTGGTTGTGGTTGGATGAGTTTTTTGAAAAGATCACTCAGTCCACACGCGCATGCATTAAACTTCTACTATGTCGATGTGATTATTCAACCCTCAAGCTTTTGTCCTTTATTTCCCATAACAATCTAAAATTATAACAGAGCTCCTCAGCATATCTTGTTTTATGTTTGTGTTGACCTGATTGCGGCGTTTTTTTTTCGGTATAGGTAACAGAGTTTCTATTATAACAAAAAATATGAATTTCAACTGTCATTTCCCTACGTGTAATGGCTAATTACTTAACATTGGCAGAGCTGAGATAAGTCACAACGCAAGCCATCGTAAATAGAAGAAGAGGAAATATAACAAAGGATTAATATAAATTAATGTATGAATCAGTAGCATATTGAAAGGCATAAAATCATATTACATAAGAAATATAGTTATTTTTCGTATTTTAAACCTTGTTGATGTCAAAAAATCATAGCACTGATAAAGCGTATAATATTATTTCGGAAAATCAAACTTCTATATGGCTACTCCGTCTAAAGAGTAAGTGAGATAGCAAATAGCAGTGACGTCATTGAAGGTAAACTTCGTGTTATTCATTTTTTATTCGTTGTACAGGCTCCATTTTATGTATAAGCTTCTTGGGTACGTTAGTGAAACAAAACATTAATAAGCTTTAGCCTACTTCTTCACCGTATGTGTGCATAAGTACTTCTCTTTCTTGTGTGAATGAAAAGGAAGATAGACAGTCGTATATCTAGACCAGAGTTTCCCAAATTTTTTTGTGTCGTAGACCCCTTGCCATGTTTTTCCGTGTTGGGTACTTACCTGATATTGATTTTTTTTCGCTGACGTAGACCCCTTGCAGGTTGTCATAGACCCCTAGGGGTCGATATAGACCACTTTGGGAATCACTGATCTAGACACTTCTCTGTCTACGGGTATTTGCATCGCAGAGTCGACGCATTTTTGGTCACATGATCACAGAATAATCTGAGCATATTGCTATTAGATTTCTATGGAACGGCCCGACCATACATATAGTATCAAATGGATTGAGGCAAAAGTTTGACAGCCTGAATGACGGATGGGACTGTTTTCCATGCATCTTTGTCTAATCTGTAGAGTGTACCTATGAGTGAAAGAGCAGCTGCCGCAGTTAACGTAAGTTTAACAATGCTGTGTATCGGTGTAAATTATGACCCATGTACGAGTGTCCGAGTAATATCCTCACAACATTGCGGTGACAAGGGTTACGGTTGCGGTTGCGGGTACAGCGAATTGTGATCGTGCACCACAATTTAAGCGGATCACTTCTGAGCCGCGAGTGCCGTATCTTTCCTTTTTGTTTTAATCTAAGGCTGAAGGACATCGTCTGATATTGACGTGACAACGTCTTAAATTAGGTTGCGGCTGGGAGTCACTTATGAAAAAGTGTAACGCTCGGTAACGTTACGATGAGTCTCTCGTGTTAAGTTTAAGTTTACATGTACAATGTTTTAGTAAACAAAATATATTTCTATAGTTAAAATTTGTGCAATTCTTATTTTCATTCAATTCCTTGTTCCTATTGTGCAATTTAATTATATTCATATCAATAAATATTCTACCGAGAAAAAGACGTTGTCACGTAAAATCTTCGCCCGTAAAACCGACTTTACAGGCAACCATTTTTTTTATTACAGTTTATTTCTTGCTCGTTAATCTCTACATAGCTTCTATGTTATCTTTGTAAAATACGTAAGTCATTTGTTTTTTAATTCGTGTTAGTGCCATCTATCGAAAACTTAAGCATTTTCTTATACGATTACGGCAGTGCTTTTGTAGCAAGACTAGCATAATAAGCACGCGTGCTTTAAATTATCTAACCTTTAAAATATATTGCGTAAAATTCCTTAGATGGATCGTGCGATCGCAAGGACATTTAAGAAACTTGGTATGTAAGTATAAGTAATAAAGTTTATTTTTGTTTGCGAAAAATGTAACTTTAATTAAATAGTATATTAATGTTACATTTAAAGTGATTAGTTTAATAATGTCTTTAAACATAACGCACATTTCTATTTTTTTTTTATTGAGCCATTATTTATTTTTCGAAACAATTTAAGTAGTATTAAATACTTAATTTTGACCTAGATAGTTGAATTTTAACATAGAGGTGTTGACTTTAAGACGTACCTAGTCATGAAGGACTTTTACGTGTTCACATTTTTGTAGGTTTCATTTCTACCGCATGTGAACAACACAAGTCCGTTTTTTTATTTATGTCACGTGATTTTTAATGTGTGCGTTTTTAAAGCAACAACACGCTCGTGTTTGTGTTGTTATTGCATAATTTCGTTAGTTTGCTATAGGTGTATGCCTCGCTCCCCGCTAAAAATGGCGAAAATTTTTGTTCAGCTAATAAACGGTATGGCATCTTCATTGGTATATGCCCTAAGACAAAAACGTTTTAAAGCTTTCAGTCTTAGAGCGTCGACTGAGCTCCCTAATTGCCCAAGA